ATTATATTTATATATGTATATTATGTATATATATATACATATATATACATATATATATATCATATATATGTTTATTCATTACAAATGAATACAATGATGTACAGTTACTTTTCGCTCTATAATTTATTTATTCAAATATTTGTTTTGACCGGGGAACAGACTAGATTAGCTGCAGCTATTTCTATTCCCCAATACCTATTTCAAATTATATTTTGTACAATGCTCTTAGATTTATATGTGTAACAAATGGAATGAAAATAACACATGTACAAATTTAAATATCAACAATGAATAAATAAATAAATAAATAAATAAATAAATAAATAAATAAATAAATAAATAAATAAATAAATAAATAAATAAATAAATTCACATTCATGTCAATAGTTCTAATCTTTCTTCATCAAACAACAAATGAAACCAACACGAGCTGAATACACAGTAACTTGTTTGAGTTTATCACACTCCACTTGAGTGGAAAAAACGGCAGAGAATCCTCGCAATAGGGGGGTAGGATGTTCTCAATATATGCCTGAAATAGGGGGTGTTTTTTCTTCAATATGTCTTCTCTAGGGGGTACTGAATTTACATTGCGTCCGCAAAAGGGGGTATGGTTTGCCAATGTGCTGCCAGCCCGAGGGGCCTATTGTTCTTTTTGGCAAGAACGCACATGGTGTAAGATTTTAATATTGAGTGCCCCAGGGAGAAAATCACGGGGAGTGCGCGTTTGTGTTACTATAGCACGATCGTACAGTAATCATACACATTTTTCGTGATCATATAAACGAAAAAGAGTACAAGTATTATAATTTCTCTCAGTTACAGGAGTTTTCTGGCGCACAATATCAGGGGGAGAGACACATTATAACGTTTCGACCACCCTGGAAAAGTCACTTCCGTGTTACCGTCTGTGATGATTTGTCGTACGTTGGCGACTGATTGCCCATCGACTCGCTCCATCTACTGTCTCGATGATGTCTCCCCGTTCATATGTGAAAGTGGCCATACTGATATAATTACGGGAAAATTAGCAAATCATGTACGCTTCTACAAAGTTCGACGAAATGCCGTAACTGAAAATTCAACTGGACACCAGTTGTTTTTATAAGACTAAGACTGCATAAAGGTCACATTTTCATATCCCTACGCGTAAGAGCGAAGTGAAGAGGCCGTTCCAGATTGAATACTCATGTTAAAATTTGACGATAAAGACAACTCCACGGAGCTCTAAACTAAATAACATTTTCAATAGTATATGTTTATTGTCATAAATATAGAGTATATAAAGAACACATCGTGAAAAACAAAACAAAAATAGTTCCACGCGTAAGAAAGTATGTATGAGTACTTCGTCTCAGGCATTGCCTTCTAATCTAGCTTATCTAACTTGTTTACGACCCATATCCAAAAAAAAAAAAAACTCCACTTGACGTCGACATTTTATCGCACCCGAGTACCTGCCTCAGCAATTCGGGTTCTTTTGTGGCTAGGTTATTAGCGGGTTGTCCCCGTAATGAACTTGATTGCATAATCACATATACTAGTGTTTCTCTTATTGGATACACTATATAGGTCGGCTTGAGAATAGTCAATACTGTTTAGTTATGTGTGCAAAGCTGGCTAAAAATTGATATTCTTTTTCGTGATCAAATACAGAACAGGGAAAATGTTTTTGCCATTTTCCTGTAATCTTCGTTTCTGTATAACTTATACAAATTTACACATCTGTCCAAATACTTGATATAATATGGATTAAAGTGTTACGCTTTATTAATTTACATATCAGAGTGAATAACAAAACAATATTTGTCACAAAACCAAATTAATTTCTGTATAAAACGAAATACAAGATCTCCAGGTATTTCAAGATACCATAAAATGACCTCAAATAGCTAAATGACTACAGCAAAAAAGAGTTGAGAATGTTTTCTCTGGTGGGGCACGTGTACGTGAAAATACAGTTTTGCAAAATGGCTGTCAAATTTGCTGTCTAATTGGCAATCTAGATAACTGATTCGCAAAAAACTTAGCACGTACGCTTGGGTTTGTGTGTGTGGGCGATTTGGACCGTATCTGGGAGAGGGGTGGGAACACGCGATAATAAACATAATAAATGGGTATCATGACGTATCAAGCCACGAAATTAACGTAGTATGTCACATAATAAACTATTTATTCAAAATGAAAAGTATTTGTATTCAAATTGTAGTTAAAATACAAATTACGACTTTAATAAACTTTTTTTCCTTTTAGAAATTGAACAAGTTCACAATCACAAGGCGCCGTCCGGTTGGAGAAACTCCCTTATTCAAAAGATAAATTTATATTCAATAACTGCTGATGAGTAACAACTGAAGGTATTTTGTTAGACCAAAATCGCAAATTAATTCTTTCAGCCAGTTATAGGACTGGTATACCCCAAATTTACACTCCTTTCACTTTCACCGTGTTGCGAATATGGTTGCACGTAGACAGACAGACGAAGTCCTATCCGGACCAAAGCGCAATAGAACTACTGCGGTCATTATTCAAAATCATCTGTTCATAAGTACATTGTAAATATACAAGTATTTGATCTACGAGGAAACTTATAAGACAAAGTACAGGATATATGACTACTGAATTTGACTTTAGTGTT